TCCAAGTTTTTCACGAAGGCCAGAATCGTCACTGAACAGCTAATTAACAGCAACGAGACAGACTCGGACAATGACAAGAGACGTGCTTGATTGACTGTTTTGTTTCACTTAATGCGCCTTATAATCCGGTGCGTCTCATGGTCCAACAAATACGGTACTAATTATGACTTCTGCTGTGTTTCAGTTATTGTGCAGTGCCACTTAAACTGAACAACACTATTTCTATGTTTCAATAAACAAATGAAGATACAGATGTACCAAAAAAAATTTAGGTTATTGGTAGGGTGTAAGCACCGTATCTTAAACTGAGACAAGACATATTCAGACATATACTATACGAGTCTTTAGGTTTTTTTATTAAATGGCTTTAAGGGTGCACTTATACTACGGCCAACTGATCTGTACCCGAATATTCCCCCTCCCCTGCTGGCCTATAGTCACATTACCCGAAAGGCAACCATGCTGAAGTGTGGTAGAAAACCTTGCAGGCCGCAACTTGTAGTTGGTTGGAATTACCAAACTTTGATTCAACCCAAAAAGCAAAGTTTTTCATTTTAAATAAATATATCTGGTGCCGTTATACCTGCCTCGTTTTCAGCTGTGTATATTTGGCTTGTAAAAATAGTAATAACACAAATGCATCGTCCCGACATACAAGCACTCCGAGATACGAGCAAGCCTTCGAGCAAAATTTTTGCTTTGAGAAGTGAGTAAAGATTTGAGATACGAGCACGCTTACGACGCCGACGCTAGGTTAGCCGAGCACTCAGAGCAGCCTACACGGGCTCACTCGTTCACTTCACGTGTTCGTTGACTTCCGTACGCATCTCCCGCGATCCTTCTGTATTGTGTTTGCGTAATCTATGTGAATTTTTTTGTGCATTATTCTTCATAATAGTAATGAGTCCTATAAGAAAGTGAGTGGTAAGGATGGTAGTGCGAAGAAGAAACGCATGATGACCATGGAAATAAAGCATGAAATTGTCGATAAATATGAGCGTGGTGCCCGCTAAAGAAAGTTCAAACAGAAAAGTAAAAAAAAAAATACATAAGCTAAGTTAAGTTAATTATACGTTTATGTAAGTTACGTAGTGTACGTGTAAGGTACAGTACGGAATCAAGTGTCCACTTACGAGCCAACTCTCTTCCCTCCCTTCCTCCTCCTCCTCCTCCTCCGCACCTGCCGCCATTAGCCACTACTGTATCATACATTTGATTTTATATCACAGGAATGTGTGCGCGTATGTCTCTATAGCAATTAAAACGTGATTTTTTTTTTCCTTGTTATTAGCAATAATAAGGGTGTTTTTTACTGGGGCCGGAACGGATTTTTTTTTTTTTTTTTTTGGAACGATTTTTTTTTTTATTATTATTATTTCTTATGGGAAAAAAAAATGATGATGTTTTAGCCTGTGTTCACATGTTTTCTTTGGAAAGATATGAATGTTAAAACAAACATGTGATTTGTATGGCAATTAGAGATCTGCAGCAAATACAAATCCTAATTTAAACATGGACAAATGACATTTGTTTCTACCAAATAGCACTGAACATTCATGTGGGTCATTTTTTAATTGTGTGCAAACTTGTAGACATACAGATGTAAATTGACAATTATGAACTTATTATTTATTTATAATTAATGTATGCAATAGATTAGTGTAAATAATACAATATTAGTACAAAGTCACATAAATGCAATAGTACTAATAACAGGCATAAAACTTTCTTTTGGTGTTTTGGGTTTTGGCCTCAGATTCCCTAATTCCCTAATTTTTCTGTATAAAAATAAAAATATTTTCTACATCATTGGTCACTAGTAAATTTCTACAATATTACAGGATACCTAGATCACACCTTTAGAGTTGTCAATTGCGTTTGATGCTATCCGATCAAGTACTATCTCTATTTAAAGTCAATGGAAGAGATGATACACTCCTAAACTGTTAGAAGCAACCGTAGCAACTACTGAGAAAAACTCCTTTTTGTGTCATGTCAACATTTTTTTTTTTTTTAAAGGCAATATGTCAGCATTTTCAACAAGATGTTAGAAGTGCTTCTTCCTCTCTCTCATACTGGTCTAGTGTTTTTTTTTTTTTTTTTTTGAAAAGGTGTGTTGAAACAGTTTTTTCAGATAGTGAGTTGTCCTTTAAAATGCTGCTCAGACTCTACCAAACATACACACATGTTTGCAAAAGCTTATACACGGTGATCTTTACTTGCACTGCATGCGTCTGAATTTCATTTCTCATGTTGAAAACAATTGTTTAGGGGAAAATGCATTTTTATTGTCAGAAATCACGCAAGGATTTGTTATTTTATATTGATTTCTGACAGTAAAATGGAATGTTGTATACATAAAAAAAATACTATTATCTAAATCTGACATTAATGAGAAGAAACATTTTTTTTTTCTTCCTGTAATACAGTACAGTACCGGGTTAATTTTCCTATGTTTTATTATTAGGTTGGGTGGCCATCAACATTAGCCCCTTCTAAGAACTCATTAGTACATATCAGTACTGCACACTATTTCAGTAACACAAATATCATGATCACTCGCAGTTTCCCTAGACATTGATATTATGTGCTTAATTGTTATCTTTGCATAATCCTCCACCTATATATATATATATATTCCACAGTTAATATAGATTTGTCCTACGTCCTGGTGTTGGTGTTCAAGAGTGAAGCATGAACCTGAGAGCTTTTTACTAGTCAGTGCAGTCAGCACACGTCTAGTCTTGCAGTCTCAAGTGACTATCTATTTGACCTGTAGCTGGGGTTTAACTTTCATGGTATTGCTCTCAGATCTGCAGAGCCGCCTTTTTCAGATCTGTGTGCCTATTCCTCTTTAGTGCTGCTGTGCCCAACAGGAAATGTTGTGCTGTGCAGAATTTGGTTACTGACCCATAGTTGGCGCCTTTTATGATGAGAACTGTCCAACTTTCATGGACTTTCTATGTCCCATTTAACCAGTTTTCATCAGATTTTTTTTTTTGTCCTTACTTGTGTTTTAGGGAGGGCTGTCAGTTATTTCAAGCTAGTAGCTGTGGATCATGTCAACAATTCATACTCTCATTAGAGTCATAACCGGCAACTCATCAGGTCACCCAAGTTGTACAAATTAAGTTGACCCTGAGAAGGTCATAGCCAAAAGTCATAAACAGTTAACTGTGTAATATCACAAAGTATGATATACTAAAACAGAGATTATGACATGCAAAAAAAGCAAACATTGGCCCACTCTGCTAGGAATACATCTGATTAATGCAGCATTTTAGCTTTCTCCTGTCCATATTCATATAATCACTTTGTTGTGATCTTGCGTTTGGCGACTATATTGTCAATATAAATGACATTACTGTGTTTCAACCTCGTTTGCACGACGTGCCTTTTCCTTTGATGCGATCATTAGCCTATTAATAAATCATGTTTAAAGCATATCTAATAGAATTTAGGAGTGTCGGAACACAGAAAGCGCCCTAACCAAACGCTTTGAACAAGTTAGCTTACGAATTAGCTGTGAACAAAACTAATATTCCAGTCTGACGTTACCTTTAACTTGTACTTTCGCTACGTTAGCTCATATGCCGGAGAAATGCAGTCAAGTAGGCTTATTAGTTTGACGGCTACAAAGACTGCACGTAACCGTGGAAAAGAAAAGTACACAGAAAACATTTTTACCTTGAGCTTTTTTTTTCCACCCAGCAACTGCAAATATTGCTAGCTTCTCATTAAACCACAACCGAAGTTTGAGGCTGGGATAGGAGATTCTCGCGATTTAAGTGTGGACATGACCTTAATATGGCCAGAGTTAGCATCGTCGAGCTCAGAAAAGCTACTTTTCCAGTTGAGCGTTGTCCACCTCTTAATGCTTGGCCTCTCCGTAGCTCAGTCGATGGGTGCAGCCCACACAGCCGTGATACGTGTACACAAAAATGTCTGTGCCGGATACACAAGACGTACACGGCCGCCAACTCAATGTTTACACCGCACTAAGCATGCGCGACTAATGTCCGCAGTTTGGGGTGACAGAGTTCTTAGATAGCGGTTGCAATGAAGCGCTTTTTCAACAAGTGAATGCCAGAAGAAGACTGTTTTTTTTTATTATTATTTGTTATTATTTCTTACAAATATCATTCAGTCTTACCATATTTATTGTCGCTATTTGCATTCCCATTTTTACCGTGCTATTGTGTACCAAAAATGAACCTCAAAAATAGGAGAGAGCTGTTACAATAATCATAGCATTTTCAATGGTTTATATATATATCTTTGTCCTGGATTTCTGGAATTGATCAGTAAGAGGTACGAACTTGGCTTTGCCATTATGTGGTAAACTTACATACATTTCAGTAAGTACTTTCAAACACACACACACACATAATTTTATTTTAGTTTCAACATAAGGGAAAATACTCAATGTAGCCTAATTAATCTTTTTTTAAGATTAGAGAAAGTGCTTATTTTAGAAAGAAAATATATAAAAAATATTTAAAAAAAGCAACTTCAGAGCAACAACTATACTTATACCATATAAATATCCAGACATTGATTCAGTTTGTAAAAAAGTGCCCACAAGAAATCCTCTTTTTTTTTGTTGTTTTTTTTTTTTTTTTGGCCTGGGAAAAAAAGACTTACATAAAAAAGGAACTCAAAAGGCTACAGATAAGAGACTTAATAATAAACAAATACTACTGATGTGTTTATAATACTGAGCTTCGGTTGTTCCTGATTCAATGTTTACGCAAAACTAAAGTGTTTCCATATGAAAAACTTCTACATTACATATCTGGATAGAAGGGAAAACATCCTCCAAAAACCTTGGAGTTTTGTAGCCATAACATATACTTCAGCTAATACACTATAAAGTACAGTATAAGTATTTGACAATGCACATTTCATGATTTTTGTTACATTTACGTTGTGCTTAATCCTGTTTTCCAAAAACTATGCTAGCTGTCCTAGCCTTGAACATTTAGGAACAAATCGTGAACACAAGTTAATATCTTTTATTTCGAAAGTGAATATTAAAATAAACACATTTTTTTATATCTGTTTATTGCTCAAAGAATAAAACCTTAATGGATGTTGTACGCGACAAGATCACTCGTCTGCACAGATGATTAACCTTAGTTACTCTACGGATGTGTAACAGTGCACAGAGGAAATAAAAAGCATCCTGGTGTAGGCAGCAAATATCACGGCCGTAACGACACCCTTTAGCAAGAAAAACATCTCACTTACACAAGGCTTTTTAGTCCGTCATCTGTATTTGGATATATGAGACAGAAATGCCCTGCTCCTGAATAACACAGGTTTTTACAAATACTGCAGATAGGTCAACACGTGTCAACATTTTACATTACAGTTTTTTTGATTCAAAGGTTCATTGGTTTAGAATGGCTATAAAAGGTCACGTAAGAAAAACATTCACATCCCCTATAAATGAGCTTGCAGAAGAAAATGCAGAACTGCAGAAGAAAATGACATATGCAAATCCCAAAACACTCACTGTGAATGTGAATACAGTTCAACAGAAGCAAAATTAAGTAAGGTGGGGGAGATGGTAAATGACAAGCCTATTTTTTGATTGGCCAGTTTAAAATACAAAAACAAAAAAAACAAAAAAAATCTCCCATCTTAAATTCTCGTCAGTGTCCGTTTGAAAACGTACATTTCCTGTATTTCACCGATTTGCTTCACACAGAGGTGAAACATGCACCTCTAACACAGCGCCAATCTCGTAGGTGCTAGACAGAGTCCATTCTTACACGTCATCATCTTCTTCGTCCTGAGAGGAACCGGCCTGTTGAGAGGCACTGGATGATGCTGCCGCCATCTGTGCCCGCTGGGCCGCCTGCTGCATCTGCAGCCACTCTTGCTGAGCTAGCTCCGCCTGCTGCTGCCGTGCCTGCAATAAGAAGAACATCAGAGTCGAACTGTCATAGAGGGTGAAGAAAATGCCATTTTCTTTCTGCCCCTGAGATTTTAATAGCTTTAAAAAAAACAGGAAAATGTCACAATAATGTTATAAATTGAATGTTGAAACATTCAAAGTCTTGGAAGAAAAAAAAGAATGCGGTTTTTACAGTAGCATTATTTGTAGCATTAACTTATCCAGCTCGAGATGTGGGTTTCGATCTCCAATTAACTAAATTGGGTGCAAAGCTATTAATACAGAGACTACATCAAGCGGTAAGTGAGCATGCGCAAGTTTTTGCGGCATTGGTGAAAGTAATACATATTGAACTTTGAAGTTAATATGAGCTAAACGCACAGAGCTAAACGTGTAGTTTTTATGGCTTTGCATCCGATTTAGTTACAGTAATTTGGGATCAGAACCCCCATCTTGAGAGGAGTGCGCAACTTTGCAGTGTGAAGCAAAATGTGGATCTAAAAGGAAGGAAGTATAGTAAACTACTTGTCATTGTGATACAGCACACAATGAAATGTGACCTCAGCTTTTAACCCATCACCAAAGTGAGCAGGGGGCAGCTTTAAGCGCCCAGGGAGCAGTGAGTGGGGACAGTGCCATGCTCGGAGCACCTCAGTGTTAACTTGGCAGAAACACAATTTTTTTTAACTCAAATAATAAGAGGTCAATCTGTATTTTGTATGTATTATTTTTGTTTTAGAAAAAAAAAAAAATTAGAATGTGTCCAATTTTACAAAACACCTAAATCATTTTATTACATCATTTTGTATTCAATTTCATGTGTCATTTGCTTGTCAGTCTGTACACGACAAACCGACTTGCTCTGTATAACAAAAAACTTTAGAAATAAAATATTTAAATGTACTTTGAGACTATATTTTATAACAAATAATTGAATTAATCAGTACACTTGCAAAAACTTCTTTGAGGCTTGTTTAATATTTACCGTGTTTCTGTGGTTAAGCCACTTGACATTTTAATCATCTTCATCATATCGTCATTCTTTAATTTAAACAATCATCTAACATGTTGTTTTAACCATTTATAGCAAGTATATGTATTAGAAAAAGGCTAATGTAGTTGTAAAATAAAGGTTTATAATGCTTGTGTTAGCACTGCAGATTAATACCAGATGTGTTTTAGGCCATACCTTGGCAAAAAGTTCCTGCTGCTGTCTGAGAAGCTCTTCTTCAGGGATGCCCAGATTTTCCAGACGAGAACTGGCCTTCCTTCTCTTTAGAGCAACAGTTTTACATTCCTGCAACACGTCTTTTACCTCAGTGATATATGATGCAAAGCCGAGGCTCTCCAATGCTGTATTATAAACAAAAATATGTCAATTTACTATTCATCGAAGCTAAAATATTCAAGAAAAAACTTGCAAGATATTAAACTTGTGAACTTCTTATTTGACATTGATTTATTCCAGTAAATTGGTCATCAACTAAAAACGTTCTCTGTATACTTACTGCATAACTAAATTCCTATATGTAACATACTGCATGGGCATTCTCAGTAAGGACCCAACAAAGAGCATCTTGACTGAATATTGACATTGATACATACGGTTTAAGGATAATAGTTGACATCTAGTAACAATCAACTACACATAAATAAATAATGCATTTAAGCGTTGGTTGGGGCTCTATATACCTCTCTATAGAATATTTGAATATCAACGTCTTCGTTGGACGAGGACTCACCGTTAATGACGTGCTCTGGAGATATAGTCTTTTTGTCGGACTTGTTGCAAATTTCATTAGCCTCGGAGGAAATAAGGTGTATGAACTCCGTGCAGCAGTTCACTACCAGTTCCCGGGCGTCGTTGGCTACCCGCACGTTGGGCAGAGTTTCTTTGATCATTTTGTTGATAGCTGCCCTGGGAATGGTGAGGTCATCGTCATTCCCGGAAGAGGAAGCCATCGTGCCAAAAAATATGAAAGAAAATTGGGAGATAAAAACGCTCTAGTGTCTTGACTTGCTAAGCGAAATAAGTCCGCCCTTCAAGGAGTAAACCTTTGGGGTCAATAAGACAGCACATGCGGCTAATTCTAGGTGTTTTTAGACGGAGAATACGCAGTTTGTGAAAACCACAGTTGTCACTACGTAAATGTCAGGAAGAGAAAACTCGACCAATGAATAATATAAATACTGAGATGGAAATGGTGAATAAACGCTACTGTGCTAGACTAGCTATGTATTAGTCATTTGAGAGCATTGCTAAAGCTCAGATGACAATGAGCGCCACCGGTCATTACGAGCTAAATGACAAAAAAAAAAGGTAGGTGCAATTTATTTCAATGGCAGCACAACAATATTTTCTTGCGTCAACTACAATCACCGGAAAACTAACAAACGTAATTGTATGCTTTCTGAAGCTTTCCTTAGCACTCCTGTTAGCTTGAAAGTATACAGCATCGCCGTCGCAAAACTACCGGAAGTGACATTTCACCAACGGAAGCAATTCAGTAGGCGTTCGAATTTCGAAGAGGTTTAGATTAGCTAGCACGAACCGTCGATTACCTTACAGATACCGAGCTGGAAGGCACATTACATTTAACACATTTTCTTTGTCTGTTCACTGAGGTCAGCAATAGATTGACAAATCGTCTAACTTATTCTGTAGGGTTACTCGGCATCTCTGCACCCTTTATGTTGCATTACTGCCCCCAACCGGTGTCACTGGAGATATTTTTTTTATCCAGTAAAAATACAGGAAATAAAGTGAGTGAGTAGTGTGCAGGCCAGTTGAAACAACATTTATTTTTACTAGTGAACAAAAACTATCTGTTGTATATTTCACAATTACAATTTCTTACAATTTCTTTATTTATATTGTATACATTTAATACTCGTTATTATGTATATTATTATATTATTATGTTGATAGTAAATGCACTAATTCTCAGGAATCATGGATGCTCATTGTTTTTGTCCTTGTCCAGCGTGAAACTTTTACGGCTCCTCCAGCGCAATAGTTTAAGGAAGTTTAGGCTGGCGTTGAAGACCTTGTCATGCTCAAACACCATCTTGTAAAAAGTGTCAATGGAGAGGTCACCACTGGGGTCAGCGTATTTCAGCGTGGTCATGGGTGTGTAGAGAGTGTTTGTCTGATGACGAAAAGGGGGATCATCCATTGTGATGATTTTTAAAGTATGCTGAAACAACAACAACACACACCGTTATTGGTACTTTAATACTATTCATTAACTTAACCTGGAGGAGATTGTTTGATTTGACTCCAACTGAGGAATACGCTACCTCTGCAATATCCTCTGGTGTCTGTCCGAGGGTCTCAAAAATCTGACCGTAGTTTTTTAGATATATGTTTGTAAACATATCCGAGGTAACTTGGTCGGCTTTGCTTAGATCAGTCTTAACGCCATTTTCGTAGACTTTACGCTCAAACTCTGTTATCACTGGCCCTGGCTCCATCAGGCTGATGCTGAAGAAAGAAAATAGAAGAAATGTATCTGTAATCAGATTTGTTGAATAAAATCTATGTCATGACATATCTACAACAATTCGAGAACAGCTTTCCTCCTCCTTTTAACATTGGACAGACTCAATGAACTACCAACATTCAAGTTGTTATTTAAACAACTAAAAGCCTGCTCACTCTCCCACACTAAATGTCATAAACATTTAAATTTTTGCTGGTTTCATCAATATTTTTCATATTCATATCTTTTTTTTCTACCTACCATGGCAAGTTTCCTATGGGGTTTGCTGTGGGAGACTTTTTTTTTTTTTGCTGAGATTTAAAAGATTTATAATGGCAATTTAATGTGGGAAGATTTTGTCAATCTTAGATCATCTGATTTGGGAAATATTCCTCCAAAAACATTGGATTTTGATTAGATTTGCAACGAAATCTGTGAGGACATTAAAAAAATGCTGTTGTTCTTCACTATAACCTGAAAAACAACACTTTTAAGCCAGGCAAGGACATGAGTTTTTTTTTAAAAAAGATAGCTCTAATGTTAAAGCAGAAAATGTACATTTTTAGCAGAAGATGCCTCAGTATCTTACTTAAGGTTAAATCTCAACGCCTGAATGGCTAAGCTCTCACAAAAGCCCTCCACGGCAAACTTGGACGCTGCATAGACGTCATTGAACAGAATACCTGAAACAGAAAGGCAGACCTGAGTAAAGAGACAGTTTGGGTCTGATCAACCTTTTTTTTTTTTATGACAATTTAGGGATGTATAAATGTCTTTACCCTGAATCCCCATAACACTGCTGATGACCACGATGTGCCCTTTTCTTCTTCTCTTCATGTCAGGCAGAATCTCTTTTAGCAATCGCACAAGTCCAAAGAAGTTAGTATCCATGACGGTCCTCATCTCATCAATGGACTGACACTCGATTGGCCCGATCAGACCTATCCCAGCATTATTTACTGTGAGAGGAAGCAGAGGTGTATGAACTACATTCAAGCATAAATATAGACACTCCAGTATAAAAATCAATTACTGATTTACTGATTTACTTAAATAAAACTATTCATCCATCCATCCATTTTCAGAGGCAATGTCTCTATCATTGGTGTGGAACCCCCAGGGTTCACCTCCTGGGCAAGATCGAATCCCGGTTGAGACGGTTGGTACCTTCCAGTGGACTCACCACCCGCAGGAAGGTGTGACTTGGGTGGCGACTGCTGCCCCCATGACCCGGTAACGGATAAGTGGATGAAAATGGATGGATGGACAAAATTACCAGGGCAATCCAGGTAGGATTCTACCTGCTTGGGATTTTCTTAAGCAGTTACCTGCATGAATATACTTATGTTACTGAAGTTTCAACCAACTACTTACATTTTCAGTTGATGTAAGTTCTTATTTGACACACCCTGATTGGCTGATCTTGAAGTGCTCATGTCACAGTGACTTAAACGTCAGATTTAATTTTGGTACGTCCTGTTAATTCCGCTGTACAGTACTCTTCTGGCTTTCACAAAGAGCTAAGCCATTCGAAAGCCAGAAGAACAATTGATATTTGAGATTGGTTGCAAAGATTTAGCTTATCTCAGCTGATGTTAGAACCGCCAGCTCTGTGTTTTTAGACTTCATATCCTTGATTTAGTGAGCGTTTTAATAACCCCTTTTTAGAGTAGTTATGTGTGTGTATAAGTGTTTCTGTTTTATGGGGTTAGTCAACCTCTGTTGTCTTCTTCTTCTTCTTCTTCTTCTTTCGGCTTTGTCCCTTTTTTTTTCAGGGGTTGCCACATCAGATCATTGATTTCCATCTCTCCCTGTTCTTGGCAGCCTGCCGGCTCAAACCTGAAACCTTCCAGACCCAACTCCATTTCCTTAACCACCAAGCCACACTCTGGCCCTATATAGTAACTTGACATTAACAAATAGACCATTAGCAGAAATATCAGAATGTTATCCTTAGGCAGAAATTGTCATTTCTCCGAGTTACTGGCTGACGAGTTACAGTAAAAAGTTACTTAAACAACCACTCATTAATAAAACTTTAAAGCTTTTTCTCTGTGCTACAAGTCATGGTTACGGTGAAAAAAAAAAAACATTTTCTTTCTGAATGTTACTCTTCACACAGTTAGCATACTTCGTGGAAGAGGTTTTTGCAGAAGTAACGAGTG